AGCCTACATAACAAAGAACTCAGAAAAAACAATCAGAAAAAAATAATATTTTTTAGGTACCAAAATAAGTTTTTGCGGGGTCCGAACCCCTTCGAGTTCGGGCCCTGTACGGGGACCCGAATGCCCGAACGTCCGGGGGTCAGCTTAGGGGCCTCCATACGTTCGGCCTGGCAACTCTGTATAGGATTAAAAAAAAAAGTAGATCGAGATACTTTTTCACATTGGCCATCTGTTTGTATGCCGAAAATGATGTTGTTTTGATAATATATTATCAAAACTTGCTATGAATCAAGAAATAATAAATCTACAATGCTTTTTTGACACCTTGTCCCACAAATTTCAACAATATAGTAGAAGAATTTGTTAAATTAATATTAAAAAAACATAAAAGTTCATCAAATTTGAACGTTCTCGCACTTGAAAAACAAAAGCCCCTCGCAAAAACATCGATTCCAAGCGAATGTTGAGTCAGCCTCACTATATTTCCCGGTAAATTCAACGCATGGTATCATACATCGTGTGATAGTTCAATTGCTTGAGAAGCATGGCTGTGCCCGCAACCGGCCGGATCGAACCGGGCAGGTTGGACCCCTGATGGTCCAGCCGGAATTCCGGTTGGGCCCAAAAGTGGGTCAAAAAAATAAAAAAATAAAAAATCGAAACTATGGTTGGACTGTGCTCGCCAAGATCTCCCCGAATCCGCAAAGAAAACTTTCAACATAGAAGTTTCGTTTGGGGGTTGGGGGGTTGGAGGGGGGGGTACTTCAGGGGTTGATGGTCGGGGGTTGGGGGGTTTATGGTGAGGGTGTTAGTGGTGGGGTCTCAGCAAGCACGGGCTTCAGCAGACATTGACAACAACGTACCTGGCTTTCTGCAAACGATAACCTTTTGCCCAAAAACTTGAAAAGGGGGCTGGGGGTATTAGTGGCAGGGTAGGGACGATACTTCCCACCCAAAAACTTTGAAAAGGGGGTGGGGGTGATAGTGTTAGGGGGTGCCTGTCACTGCTGTCTGGTCCAAGTTGCCCTTGATACTGGTAGGGTGATGGTCCTGAGTGCTGGTCACACTGAGGTAGGATAGTTGGTATAGGGGGTGCACTGGGAGCATTAACGTGGGGAAGGGTAGGGAAGGTGGCCTATCCTGTCAGGAAAACCAGCTGCCAGCGATCACCGTGGGTCTAGTCCTTGGCCTCTACAACACCCTGGGCTTAAAAAAAAAAAAAAAAAAAGATGCACTACGGCCAACCGAGGGGGAACCGGCCCGGTCGACCAGCCGGTAGGACCGGTCAGGTTCCGGTTGGGGGAGGCCCCCTCGGTCCTACCGGGTTTGCAGCACTGTTGAGAAGAGAAGAAGTTCGGAAAAATTTCACTTTCAATTTCGTTCAAAAAATAAAAAATGTCCGCTTTGACGAAATCGTTGTTAATGGACCTCGCTTGGTTGTGATAGACGAGCTGCCAGCCGAGCCAAGGCAATCCATTGGCGAGAAGTCTTCGAAGGAGGCCTCGAAGGGCAGCGAGCTGATCACCAGCGCTGGTGGCTGTGCTGTGAGCCAAAGAGGAGCGAGCTCGCGGAGCTCTATAGGTTCTAAGATCTCTATTGGTCCGACTATTTGGAGAGATAAGTGGGCGTAGGTGCCGACGAGGTGGTGGTTGTTGTTTTCTGAAGTAGAGGTATTGAAAGCCGTTGAAGTAGGGAGTGATTGGAGATTGAGGATTGGGCACACGGATAATTTCCTTGTTGGGAACATGAGACGACAAATCGCTTTCTCCAGCAAGCTCGTACTCTTCGGTGTTTTGTTTACAAGATCCGAGGCACATTTGGTTACGGTCACCGCTTGTTTTCGAAGACACTCAGCGAGGTAATGCCTTAACCCTTTCAACAAGCCACAATTGGTTCTTGTCTTGTCGCTTTCCCGATTTGGAGATTCACAATAACCATAATGCCTTCTCCACCATTTTTTCTGGCACTGGCGCTCACTCTTCGTTTCGGTCTCAGTGTTGCATTTTAGTGATAGGGCGGTTCTTCCACCCAGAGGAGAAGATTTTCGTGAGGAGAATAGCGTACCTAGTGTGGCAACGGATGGACGTTTGTCGAGAAGGGGGCAGTTGCCGAGAAGGGTTTGCATCAAGCTTCAATCTATGTGGAGCACTGGGATTTGAGGACCATGAAGTTCAATTTTTTTTGCCCTACTATTAAGGACAAGTCACGTGGCTTTGTCGCTCCAATCATGTTGGTAGCCCAGTGAACGCCTGACCTCATGGCTTTTACTTCATCATATTGTCTGCTGGCAAGCCATCTGCTGATCAAATCTTCTTTTTTAACATGTCCCCTGAGCCTGATCTCACGGCTTTTGCTTATCATATTTGCTATTCGCAGGCCTTTCTGCTGATTAAATCTGCCTTTTTAAACCTATCCCATGTTGCCTTACTATTTGGATCCGCAGTGAGCGCCTGATCTCACAGCTTTTGCTTCATCATGTTGTATGTTGGCAAGCCTTTCTACTGGTCCAATCTGTTTCTTTAACCTATCCCGTGCTGGCCCCACTTCGAGGGGCCCTTACATGCGACTTGAGGTTAATTTTCACGCACGTTTTTCCAAAGAATCGGCGGCGGGCTTCCTATGGAGTTAAACGTGTGGTGCTGGAACTGCGGATGTGAACTAGGATGGGCCTGTGCGATAGGGCAGTGCCATCAGGACGATCAGGAGGAGAGCCACCAGGAAGATTGGCCTCAAAAGAGTCAAAACGGCTATGGTGAGGTATTGAGAGAGAAACGCGTTGTTGAAGCTGGGTGCATGGGAAAGTGTGAACAAAGGATAAGTCAGGAGGAGAACGGTGAAAAGGGTGAACTTCGTGGTGAAGATCATCATGAGGGTCAACAATAGGGTCTTAAGGGTCATAATGATGATGATGATGGTTATATGTATCCTTGGAATCAGAAGATTCGAGATAAAGAAAGGGAAGATGGTAATGCAGGTCGGGGCGGTAAAGGGAGGACAGGAATGTGGACATCAAAGATTCTGGCCACACGGAAGGCAGTGAGGAGAAGGAGAGCAAAGACAACAGGGTTGAAAATGCTCGAATCTTGCAGGGGAGGAGACGGGATTGGAGAATTCCTTGGTGCAGAGAGTGAGAGCATTGTGTGTGTGTGTGTGTGTGTGTGTGTGTGTGTGTGTGTGTG